ACTGCCCAGCACACTGCCCAGCACACTGCCCAGCACACTGCCCAGCATGTCACGACCTCCACAACAGACTGCTGCTGACACAAGCGACACGCAGCACATCAATACAAACTGTGGAATTTAAAACAAAAAGGTTACACCACGTGTATGCAAAAGAACTTGAGGAATCCACCTTAGAAGGAATCTTACAGAACTTGAGGAGTCTCCTCTGTAAGAAGGGCATGTAAACAAAGTAGATGTAGTGTTTTGACCCTGATGGAGGCTGTCGTCCAAACAAGAAGGGGACCATTCTGCTGAGGGACATGTGGCAGCCAGACCCGCAGGGAGGGGACAAGCACGCCAGAGGGAGGAACATACAGCACTCTGGAGAACAGGAAAACTGCTCCAGAGGTTTGGGTATGGCCCTTCCAATCCCTACAAAGGGGCCTGTCAAAGCATGCTCAGAGAGGGCAGGACCACACTTGACCTAAACATCACCTCTGGAGATAACGGAGGCTTAATCACAACACTATGATAAGGGTCTGAGCACGTCAGGAAATGCTTCCCAGGAGTTTAAACAGGAGGGGCCTGAGAGTATCACGGCCATCCAGGTGTGTGGACACAGTTCTCCTATGGCACTGCTTCCACAGCACCTCCACACATACGAGCTGGCCACCAGCTGCTGCCCTGGGATTTCTTCTGTCACTTAGTAGAGCGTTTCAGAAGAAAACAGTTAGAGGACAAGGCAGAGGTTGCCTTAGGTATGGACGGAGCAAAACTCGTCATAAACTTAGCGACAAAAAACGGACATTACATTTCATGGAAAAAACACAAACTTCCTTGTGTTGGAATGTAAAAATTAAATCTATTACACAGACACGCGCACACACGGACACACAGGTACCTTTCTGTCCGTCACTAATGCTAGTCCCTCCTATACTGGCTGAGTATATACCTGAGAAACAACATTAGTGTTGAAATATTGCCCTTTAGAAAGCTTGAAAATGGAGGGGAGCAGGGAGAGAGGGTTGAGAGCAGAAAGAAGCGGCAGTCTCTCCAGATTCCTTCGCATCCTCCACAGCTCGGGACAAGGCCATACACCAGCGTGGACACAGCCCACTTGGAGCAAGACCAAAGGAATATCAGTTCACAGCTCTACAAAGCACACAAGTGTCAGTACAACCAGGGGTCAGATTCCAACCCTCGAATCTGTAGAAAGTTGTTGCACTTTCAACAGAGACTCCTGTACAAGTGCTATGGGACAGCTGCATTCATGTTCAACAATGACTCCAGCTAGGCTACTTGCACCAGTGCTGGCTGCCTGTGGCTATTTGGTTTGATGGCAGAATCAAAAGGCGCTTTAACAACTTGCAGTTAACTTCTCCTCAAAACATACATTAGGCACATGAACAAAAAAAAACCAAGAGCTCAGAATAAATTAGCTTTTCAGCAGAAGAAAAGACACCTGGATTGCAGCATTTCACTGAGGTTCCAGAGAAGGCTGTACAGACACCTGCATGCTGGAAGGTAATTTTTTCAGCGGCTTGTCAGCAGACTGCTTGCCACTGGAAGGAGGAGACTGGACTCCAGGATCTAGCTGGGAAGACTTGGACTTGCGACTGGATAGCAGAGAATGTTTGTTGGGTGTGGCATCCTTTGAGACAAGTTTTTCTTTTGCAGTAACGTTGGCATTGGTTTGGGAGGCTGGTGGGACAACACCTTTCTCTGGTTTGTCCTCCAGCACGTTTTTACTGCTTGACTTGGAACTGACACTCCCTGTCTTTTTCGAGAGCATCGTTGTCTTCCCCAGGTCTGCCGACCTCCGGGTCTCCTTCTGCCTTAAGGCTGATTTAAAGAAAGACAACCCCTTCTCTTCTGACTTGCTGTCCCTCTTCAAACCAGAACGCGCCCCCACGTTTGGGGAGCGCAGGTTGGCCATGGAGGAGCTCCTCACGTGCTTGCTGTCCACGGCCCTGCTGTCGCTCCTGGAGTGGCTGATCCGCGGGGAGCTCGTCCTGGAGCTGCTGGTAACGCTTGTTTTATCCGACCCTAGACTTATCTTGGAGCCCTCCCTGCTGAGGCTGCGGTCGGAAGTCCGGCTCTTCCCAGTGGAAGAGCTCTTAGTCAATGAGCCTGATGGGGTTTTCTTGGCAGCTGTGGAGGATGGAGAAGAACCTGACTTTTGCTTCTGTTGTGCCGATGGGACAGATGCCTCCGGTGGCTTCACGCTGTGATCCTTCCTAGCCTGAGCAGGAGCAGGGGACCCATGTCGCCCGCTGGCCCTAGAAGAGTCTGTCTTACTTCTAGACCGGGAAACTTTCTGGGAACTCTTCAGTGGAGGAGAAGAGTGAGAGACTTTGGTCTCTTGGGTAGACAAAACTGTCCTTCCCTTCCTCAAACTTTTGTCGGGCTCAGAAGCTCCCTTGGAGCTGTGACCCTTCTTAGGGGTGTCACGTGCCTTCTCTGCAGCCAGCCCCGTCCCACCAGGGGCTTTCACCTCCTTCACTGGGGAGCTGTCCACAGAATCGCTCTGGTCAACAAAGGCGATTTGATTGTTGTTATCAAAAGGATCCAGAGCAGGGTAATTCCTCTCTGGCTGCACAGAGCTTTTACCACACCCATCTGAAAGGTCTGAGCTGGATGTCCTTACAACAGACTCTTCCCTGAATGCCCCTTCCATGACAGCCAAAGGGGCTCTGCGAGGCGTCCTGTGCTCTCGCCGACCACTGTCACAAGGCTCCAAGTAGCTACTGGAGAGATTCCTCAGGCTACCAAAACACGAAGTGGAGACTTTGTCATCAGCAGCCTCCCCGATCTTCTCCAGCGTGGAAGCAGAGGTGTGCACTGGGGAATCTCCAGAGAAGCGCGACGGGGAGTTGGAGCGGAACTGGAGTTTTGCAGAGAGTGACCACGAGGGCCTGACACCGTTTTCACTCACTGCCAGTGGGCTGGTGACAGAGGACCTGGACGACAAGCTCTGACGCTGGACACTCCTTACAAACGGCCGAGTTGAAAATCCTCCTGCAGAGAAAGAAAGCAACGGTCTTAATGTGAAAGCCAAGCCTGCAGCTGCTTTATCCCACCCATCCACATTTCCCTACGAGAGCCAGACAGTCCACCCACACCACACTGTGTCTCTCTCCATGCCTGCTGCAGGCACAGCTTTTTGGACAAAAGCTGAGTAAGAAATCCAACAACTGTTATTTGCTAGTGGTCACCCAGGAGTAACTCTCTGAAGCCTGTAACTGAAAACCCAGATTCTTCTCATCAAACATGGGGTTTGCACCTTGGAAGTCCTTGAAACTGGCAAGGGGTTCACCAGCCAGGATTATGATTCTGTATTAAAGAATATTTCCCAGAGCATCATGTGAAAGGCAAAGTAGGATTCCTACCTCCAGATCAAGTGATGTATTTGTATTTACAAACTCAAAATATAACCAAGCATTTTAGAAGTGTGACTTTCATGGTCAGATCTGACAGCTGTTACAGTGCTGCTGCAGGGACATGTCCACACACTTCCAAATGCCCCAGCTGACCTGTGAAGCTCCACATTCTCAGAAATTACAAGGCACTGTGTGGAGGAGCCAGGCAAAGCCAGGAATTGAAGAGTTACTCGCAACAAGTGAATTTGAATTTTCCCCACTCCCTGGCAGCAGCCAGCAGCGGCCAATTAGTGCCTTTGCTAAGCTGTAGCACTGTGCCAGCCTCCCTGCCAAGGTGCTGCAGTGACACCCAGAGAAAACACAAACACAAGAACTTGTTGATTGAGAGGTTTCACTGACAGCATTTGCTTTCTTTGAAAGGTTCCTGCCCTGCTCTCCTCCATCCTTTCATACCAGAGAGAAGCTCACCTGTGCTCCCACCAACCCCGCACCTGCCTCCCCCAGCTGCTGGAGCAACCGTCCCTTGTAACCACAGATTTTGCAGCTATTTTAGTAGGGCTCTTGCTGTGGCCCAGTTTCCCGCCCCCCCTCCAGTGATACAAACCATCATCTTCGCTCCGTTCCCCAGCGAGCTCCACGGACTCGGAGAGGGAGGCGAGGGAGGTGCGGCGGGAGGAGGCGGCCGAGGCGATGCTGGGCTGTTTGCTGCCGGGGAGGCGGCTGACCCAGTGCTCGCACAGCGACGAGCTCGTGGAGCCTGCAAGGATGGGGCATGGCACTCAGCTATGAACACACCCAGAGCCTGGAGCTGGCCAGCACGGCCACAGCACCCAGACACTGCCGAGGGAATGGGACTGTACTCTTATGGATCATTTATGGTCAGGAGAGAAGGGCATAACTGCAACTTGTCCCAGCGTGCTGTGAATACCAGCACGTGCTGTGAATACAAGCATGCAGGCAGTGCTCGAGCTGCCACCACACCACCACAAAAATTCCTTCCTTTCCAAAGGCAGGTCACCAAGTGTGCACCTACCCCCAGCTCAGCCTGGATTCCACCAACACGTGCGCTGCCGGTGCCTCCCTGGGCCGACAGCGCTGCGGCGGGGAAGGAGCCAGTCACATTCTGATGTCCTGGTTTTGACAAGGGCAGCTCTGAGCAGAGCCACGCTCAGGGGAGTTCCCCCACCTCTGCAGCCTCCCTGCCACAACTGCCTTAGCAGAAGAGGTGGGAGGTTCTCATGGCCTCTGAGCACCTCCACAAACTTGGGCAAGGTTTGCTGGGCTCTGGGGGACAGAGTGGGGGCTCAAGCAGAGCTGGGCGGAAAATTCCTCAGAAAGACAAACTACCCATGGAAGACAACTTACAGCCACCCCTGGGCAGTGCCAGCAGGGCCTACCTGCCACTGAGCTGTTGGCAGACCACGAGGGGATCGCTGTGCGCCGCTGGTAGAACAGGATGTAAGCTGTCTGCTTGCACACCTCGCTTTCAGAGAGCTGCTGAACTTCACTGTCATCGAAGCAGTACCACTGGCCATCAACAGAGTTCTTGCAATATGCTGAGAGATAATATAGTACTGTGAGACTTTCTTCACTCCTACTACTCTCAGGTTTGCTGTATGATAGTTAACATGACCTTATTTGCTATGATGGACTCAGAGGAGAGCGAAAGGAACAGATTTATTCATGCATCATCTTCCAGTTTGACTAGCAAGATGGAAGCCTGAGGCTGCCAGAACACAATAAACATCTCACATTTCAGGACTTTGTCCAACATTACTGCTCAGAACAGAACACCATTTGGGGTGGCTCCATTCACTTCACCTTCTGTTACTTGTGGCATTCTGCCTCCATCAGGCGAGAACACCACAAGGGCTTCTGACTCCACACAGAAACAGAACTGGTTTCTCTGTGGAAGGCTCCACCACAGACAACATTGCAGGACACTTGCCTGTATAGTGTCCCCCTTGCATGGTGCCATGGTGGTTGCAGACAGCATACAGGTCATAGATATAGTCCTCAGGATCCCTCCCAAGGCCATAAGGTCTCCTCCAAGGTGACCAGTGCGATGGCAGGCTCCAGCTGCTCTGGCTGCGTTTCACAACATGAGGAGTCATGTCCAAGCCACTCAGGGGGAATTTAACCATGTTCTGAAGTTTCATCCTTCGGTCTCCTTCCTGCGTGCAGAGAACAGCATAAGCTGCCGTGGCCCAAGGCCACCACAGCTGGGAAAACAAAACCCAGGAGAGGAACGTGTAGGGCAAAACAGCTGCTTCTGAAGAGGGGGGGGTCTACTCAGGTCAATCCCTGGCTCTGCAGCAGTCCTCCAGCAACACTGCAGGCATCCTTACCTGTCTAAACCTTTTGAGATGTATGATGAGAACATCAGGTAAGGTCCAGAGGCTCAGTGTGATGCTACCCTGCTGCAGCTGCTTGCAGTGTGGGCATCGCCATGCGTCATCTGGGGCAAGCTACAAGGAAGAGGCAGGAGTGGGTATTGGTTTTCAAATTCCAAGGCAGCTTTCAGCACACCACTGTTCCTCTGCTGCCCCAGGGCCCAATGCAGACACTGATCCCTCTGCCTCATTCCTCTCCAGCCTTTATCAAGCTCACTGGAAAAGCAGGGTTCCCAATGATGTTTTTCACACCAGCGACAAGCAGACACACATGTGCCTCACACAGGAGACAGAATTCAGCCAGTGCTGCTGGGCAGAGGAGCTGTTTGCACCTTATAAACACCGGTCCCTTTGAAGTGGGGAAGAAGGAAAAACCAAGGCAAAAAGCAGGCAGGCTTAGCAGCCTGAGTATTCTCACAAGAAAACCAGCAGCAAAGAAAGAATCAGAACAGAAAGAAAGGTGTACTTTGGATATCATCTCTGACACCTCACTGCTCCCTAGAAATCCTCGTCCTTCCTAGTGTGAATAGCACAGTTACACACTGTAGAGTGTCCTTCCAAAGACACAAAGGACATGCACTTCCCTCTACAGCCCAGTGCTCAGAGAACTCAACAGCCACAGAGCTTTAAAGCTGTCAAACAACTCTTCCCTCACCTGTGAAAGAAGCAGTAAGAGAGGAACTCCATTAGCAGCACAGGTAAGTAGTCTTGTGCTACAAATTTATTCTCCTGTCTCAAGGAATCACAGTTTGTGGAAAAGAGCTGCTCTGGAGTGTGCGAGCTCCTGCAGCACATGGACCAGCCAGAGCACACAGTCTGTCCCTACCTGCTCCTCTTTGGTGTACAGTTGGAAACACTGAGATAAAGTGCAGATCTGAGGTTGATGATGAAGCTCTCTCTGCTGGCGGACACTCTCAGAGTCTGGAATATACTCCTCTTCTGTATTCACGAACAAGCTGCATCAGGGAGACACCACATTCACCACCCACTCCCCAGGCTGTCCCTGCAGACAGAGTCTGGGCACAGCTGGAGTTTGAGGGGTCTGTTTGCTGAAGGGTGCACAATTCACATCAGCAAGCTGCAAGCAGTGCTCGGGAGGTGAACACACTTAAAGGTTTTTTACTTTATACTTACTAATCTTTAGTTTCTTTGTCCCATTCTACCACTAATTTCACATGAGCAGTTCCCCCCTGTCCACATGACTTCAATGCCCTGCAGAGAGGAGCAGACAGGAGTCAGACCATCTTTCCATCTGAAGCCTAAATTATCTTCTACGTGCATATAATTTCTCTCCATGAGCCTTTCATCCTTCCTCCACTCCCACAGCTCACGTTTGCAAAGCAGTAAAAGGAATTCACACAGCAAAACCCACGGCAAAACTGGTAAGTGGATTCACCCAAGTGAGTGAGTTCTGCAAGGTACTGTACACCTGCTACAGAACAGGCATCTACCAACATTTCTAAAGAATAACAGGCACCAAAAAAAAATTAAAAATGGGGGGAGTAATATTTTCATTCTGTTCTGCATTTCTGAGGAGGACAGACCCCAGATGGCATGTCACACAACTGAGCTATTCTGACACAGCTCCTGCACTGTTTCCCTGCTCCTCTGGCCTCTGTAGTCCAGTCTACACATCCACACCAGGACTGTCCCTTTCTGCACAGCTGTACACCGAGTTTCCAGCTGACAAGCCTCTTTCCACTCCTGGGAAGGACCCAAGACCCAGGGCCAGCTCACCTTTCCACTGTAGGGTGGCAGAGGGGTCGCTCCTCCTGAGGTAGCAAGTAGGTTATTCCCACCACACTGACCACTCGCAAGCTGAACGGGCAAACCTGCAACAGAGAAGGCAGTGGCCACCTCAGGGGCTTCAACCAACGTGCAAACTGCTTTTGGCACTGGCTGACCCTAGAACATGCATTTGACATGAAAAAGCAGAAGTACAAGGTCTAAATATCCCTATGCCAAGGAGCTGACAGTGGGTGAGGGGCTGCACTCCCAACAGCTCCTCTGCGGTGACCACAGAGGACGTTTGCCTCACCTGCAAGCAGGCTGCAGGCCGCAGGAAATACTGCATCTTCTCCAGAATTTCCTTCTGCAGAATATCCCAAGCAATTGTTTTTTCCAAATGCAACACAAAGGGCAAGCCAAACCTATGGGAAGAAGCAGCATTTGAGGGAGCAATTAAAAGATTACCCTGTTCAGCAATCAGATCCCCAAACTCTGCCAATGCCACTCTCCCCCTCCCCTCGTCTCAGCACCTATGGAGCTCAGCACACCCCCCAAACAGGGCATTTAGAAATTTGTCTCCAGAGGAGAGGGGCTTTGAGGCAATGCAGTTAGGGCTGCCCCCACAGAGGGCCCTTCAGAGGGGCTGCAGCCCCACTCTGTGCCCCAGCAGCTGCTTCAGGCTGCAGAGCTTTGTGACCTGCCTCGGAGAGCTTCCTGGGAAGCTCTGTGAGGCTTCAGTGGTGGAGGCAGTTCCCAGGCTGCAGATGATACAAATGCCTTTGCCATGGCTGTTTCTCACTTCACCCCATCCCTATTTTGACTCCAGTTTAAAATTGCCACCCATCACAGGATTTGGTCAAATGTGCTGCTCTCAAGCCAGGCAGCTCTACAGAGGGTGGTGTGTCCTCCCAGCCAGGCTGCATTTGCCACTTTCCAGTAACACTGCACTATCTGAAGTTCACCAAAATTGGAAATATTTTGGTCCATTCATTAATGCTTTTTGATCAGCATGTTCTTTAGCACCTGATGTGAGCTGGGATGCAAGCTGCTGCTCCTTCACTTGGTGTCTGCACTATAGGAGAGTAAAACCCAGGCCAATGTAAGAAGCAACCAGAAGAGTAACTCCAAACATCTGCTGCCAGTCACCTTTTGCTCTGCTGTCCAGTGCACGCTCTGTTACACACCAGCAAGACAATCTTGTCATTTGCTGCTGGTTTAGTAGAGGACTGTTCCAGTTTTCCAGACTTCACCATTCCTTGAGAGTAAGCTATTGTTCGGGAGTGCTCAGTGCCACATTTCAAGTTATTCAGGTTATTGTTCACATGTATTCCTGAAAAATTAGGAGAAAGGAAATGTTTTATTATGTCATTTGCCTTTAGTGCCCTGATGCCGCCCTCAAGAAACCTTCCTTAGAGTGCAGAGGAGCAGAGAATCAGAAGCTTTTTCATCACTTGTATGAAGGCTTCAGAGAGTGATTACCTTTCACAGTAACTATTTCTTTACAGAAGGACATTATATGCAAATGCTCCCTTACCTGATTTTCCATAGCAGTTCATACAAGCACTCACAGTTTTTACTGCCTGCAAGAAAAACTAAAGTGCCGGGTATCGGACTTGTTACTTTCAAGAATAAAATTTGCCTTTGATTATGCTCCATCTCCCAGGATGTCACGATTCCCTTTCACTGAGGGGAGATGCAGAGAGGCCAAGGGGTTTGGGCTTGGAGAGAGAAAGTGTTTGTTCATTCCTGAGACTGTTTATTCATCACTGGAAATCTGATTTTAAGTAACACAATTTCAGTGGCTTCATCTGGTCCCTAGCAGGTCTTTAAATTAAGCCTGACAAGAATTTTCACATTAAGCCAGCCTAGCCTGCAGCATCAGCCCTAGGAAGAGGCAGAAAGGAGTGTACAGCACTGCTTGATAACCTCCCAGTTGACAACACTATTAAATCTTCTGGAACGAGCCTGGACAAAGTCAGAGCTGAAATCAATACACCAGAACATCAACAGCTTGTGGGACTCTCATTCTTTTCCCACACAAGCCTCCCTCACTAGTCACCTGAGGTGGGCATTAAGTGGAGTTATCGACTCACCCCTCTGACTGAGGATGCCCTCGGGCCTGAAGATCTCTGGGGTCTCAAAGGCAAAGATGCAGTCGCTCTCGTGGATGGTGTCCAGGTCGTCGGTGTCGCAGAAGGAGCGATGGAACCCGTCGTAGTACATCTCTGTCAGCACGATCTGGGGGCAGCACAGGCCAACAGAACCCATCAAACCACCCGCACCCGGCCCAGCTGAGCCACCCCAACCCTCAGCTGGGATTCCCCTGCTAAGGGATGGCATTCCTCAAAACATCCTGGCACTGGCCAGCAGCAGGGAACAGGGAAAAGGGCAGCCAGAGAAAAGAAGATGGGGGAAAGGCAACACATGGGGAGGTTTTGGTGGGATCCAGCAGCTTTCCTGAAGCTCCTCCTACAGAGGAATTCCTCGCCCAATGGTTCCCTCACTGCCAGCATGCACAGATCACCAGGGGGGCAGGCAGGTCTGCACACTCCACTGAGGGCTAGTCCAATATCACTGGGTTTCAAGCAGCCAAGACACAGGGAAAAGCACGATCCAGATTTTCCACTCCCCTGCTTCCCACATTCAACCACAGGCAGCGAATTTCAATTCCTACATATGTGACAACAGACAAAAGCCCCTCACTCCCTCCCAGTGCAGGGATGAGCAGCCCAGCCCATTACCTGCTCCGTGGGTATCTTGGTTTCCGAGGAGACAGCCTCCCTCAGCCTGGCCACGGTTCCAGAGATGGGCACGGCCACCCCGATCCTCATGCAGTGCGAGCACTTGCCCTGGTACACCACAGTGACAAAGAGCGGCCTGCGGAGAGCACAGGAGCACTGCTGGGGCTGGGCACCTCTGGGCACCGCCTGGAGCAGCCTCAGCCCAACCTGGGCACTGCCTGGAGCAGCCTCAGCCCAACCTGGGCACTGCCTGGAGCAGCCTCAGCCCAACCTGGGCACATCCAGGCTGCCCACCAGGTTCAGGGCCCTCCTGGCTGCCTGGATCCACCTCCCACTGCAGTTGTGTTCAGCCACAGCCAGACAAGGGTGTTTGATTTACAGACTCCTTCCTGACTACATGTCCTGGTGTTACTCACTCCCACAAGAGGAACACCTCAAACAAAGCCCCACAAAGTTAAAACCAAAACTGTCTATGACAAAGCAATCAGTTTTCTGGCAAGGATCCAGCTTGGGACAGTTTGAGGCAGCACCTTAAGGCACTTAGACAGCTGCTGCTGTGAAGAGGCTGCCTCCCAGCCCTCAATCCTGCCTCCAACAGCAGCCAGCAGCACTACCTGGGGAGACACCTTCCCTGGAGAGCCCACTCAGCCTCCAGCCCGTGGTGAAGCAGGGATTTCCAAGGCAAACGTGGCAGAGCAATGTTTAATCTGTCCTGTCATCGCTCTGTTCCATTGCTTCTGGAAGCAACACAAGTTTTCTACATCCAAAACACCAAGTGAAGGAGTTTGTTTATACCACGGGTAGTTTTTCTGTGCATCTCTTTATCTTCATTCTGAACTTTTTATGTGGATTTTTTTCCCCTCCCTGGAGTATTTTTCTTTATTTGCAACAGCTGTCTTTCAAAAAAGCAAAACATTTTGCAGGAAAGCTTTCAACTTCACTCTTTGAAATTGAAGCAATCAGTGAGACTGTTTGAAAAAAAAAATCCAAAAAGTGTTTCATCCTTTTCCCCTTTCTGAAACCAGTAAAAGGCTCAATTTTCCAATTTACCTGCAAAGCAAAAAATTAAAGCCCCATATCTTCCCATCTATCTTTCTTAGAGATCTACCAGAGCGATTTTGCTGACACCTCTCTTCCTGCTGTAGCAAATTAAACAACATTACATGCATGAGAAGCAGCCAACGTTAGTCCAGGACAGTTCTGTACCGTGTGTGGGGCAGAGGGATCGGCAGCGAGATGCACAGGAAAGGGTCAAAGGTGTTGCTTTGCTTCTGGCAATGAGGGCACGTCAGGGAGGACCTGGGACAAACATGGATAACAGGGCAGAGTCACACCTCACTTCATCAGGAACGTATAAACCATGAAATCCCAAATAACAGCCTTCACACATCAACCTGGCTGTTCCTTTCTGCTCATTTCTAAACCCTTTTAAAGTAATTAGCCTCAAATATTCACTACAGGGCATGCCAGGAAAAGATTTCACTCCAGTCCCTGAATGTGGCTTTTAATAAACATCACTGCACAACTAATAATTCACCAACAGTAGCTCCAATGTGGATGGCCTGGAAGGTTTTGTCTTTGGAGAGAGGTGAAGTGATGGGACAGGGATGGTGACAGCCAGCACTGAGGTGCACACAGCTCTTACTCAGAGGGGAAAAACTCCAGACAAGAATTCTCTTGCATTCAGAATTAACCTGCATCTTACACTGGCTTTGTGTCTTCGACCAGGCTTAAGGTTTCTCCTTTGCAAAGGAAAACTTGGCAAATACTGGGGAGAAAGCCCAGCAATTACAATTCTTACAGCAGCACAAATGCAAGCCATCCAGGAGCACTGGCAATTCAGCTGTTCTCTTCTGTTGGCTCTGAAATTAGAAAGCTCACTTCCCAGAAAGTAGAGAAACTCCTGGGAGAAGCCCAAAGGGACAGTGACAGCTTCAGCTCAGAATTCCCAAGTGCCAGATAACAGGCACTCTGCACACACCAGGGATCTGCAACTCCCAGGCACCTCCAGACCTCACTGTGGGCAGATTTATACAGAATATATTAAATTTGAAGTAATGAAATTCTCTCTCTGCTCTGGAGCAACGCCTTAGTTCAGACTCCCTTCCTGGGAATTCAGACACAGCTGTACTGGGAGCTACTGTCAGTTTAGAATTACACTGGGGTCACCAGTACAAGCAATTTTGCCTCCACATTTACAAAATACCATACCTGTACTGGGCTTGAAAGAGTTCCTGCACAAAAGTGCTACTGATGGGAAAGGCTGGGCCCTCGAGCAGCACATCATCCTCCAGTGGTGGCTGAAAGAGAGGAACAAACTCTCGAGGCACACCCAGGCGGGGGGGGGGAACCAAGCAGGTGGCTCCAGGACTCCAGTCAAATTTGTGCCCTCCTTGCCCAAAACCACCCGAAAAATGTCACAAGGTTTTTAACTACCAAGTGTGCTCTCCTCCAAGGGGTGGGCATGCAGGAAGGTGAGGCAGGCAGGGCAGCCAGGGAAGGGCAGGGTGCTCACACCTGATGAGGCCCAACAGCCCCCTGGTAACACCTCCCAGCTCCTGCAGAGCCTCTGGCCACTCACACATGACTCTGTCAGGGAACACTCACCAGGAATTAGTGGAACAGCTGGTTATATTCCCAGGGCAGAAACAAACAGTATTTTAACCCAAGCTTTTGTTCCATCTGAGCTATTGGAGTTGAGAGGCCAGCGGGGAGAACCACTTTAAAAGGAAAGCCTGTGTGCAAAGTTAGAGCTGCAGAATCCCTTACCTTGAGGGGAGGCATGCTGCTGGAATTCACCACGTTGTTCAGATCCTCGTGGACTCTGTCGAGGAGCCAAAGGAGGAACTCCTGGGCATCGTGCTGGGCGTTGCCACGGTACTGCATCGCGTTCTTGGACACGATGTTCTGCAGGCAGAAGGGACAGTGCTGCTGGGACAGCACCAGCATTGGGCCCTGCCTGCACCAACACAGAGCCAAGGCCAATTCCATCACCCTACCCCTGCAACACAGGGTCTGACACTGCTCCCCTCGTGTCATCCTGTTTGCTCAAGATGAATCAAAACAGTGATTTAATCTTCTCGTGCCCACTCACCCTGTCTCGCTCATTGCAGCTTTGGTGAGGTCACAGATTTCCCAAAACCTTGATGCAGATGCTCTGTGCTAATCTAAGTCTACAATTCCTGGACTCAGTCAGGCTCAGGACATCTAAACCACAGATGCCTCTACAATCTGATCATCATCATGCAAAATTATTCCACATCAGCACCATCCCAAGCACCGGAACAGTACAGTCACCATGGAATGTTCTCCACTGCATATCAAGGATCCACTATGCACAACTTGCTCATCCTAAATACCATCTTCTATTGCCATCCCAGCCAGCTTCCCTGCACACAAGGAACCAAGGTGTCCCAGAACGACCAACCCCGGAGCAGCACAGCACAGGACAGGTGCCATGGGCACCCCTGCAGAGAGACAAAGCGCTCCCACAGGACTCAGACTTACTGAGCAGGGCTCCCAAGAGGGACAGGAGCACCAGCAGAGGCCAGACAGAACCTGCAGTACAGCAACAGGCAGGAAGGCTGTGGAGCCAAGAGCCTGGCAGGCTGCACACACGCCCCGTACCAGAGCTCCTCCACTCCTCTAATCAGACTCTGCAACAGATTTGAGAAATGAGGTTGGGCTGCTCGCTTTATCCCTCTGAAAATGGGGTCACTGGGGGGTGGGTAGTGGTGATGAGAGACAGGAAAGGACTGATAAACATATACTCTCTATCCTCTATAATCTGTCCACCTGCCTCAAGGCAGCAAAATAATGGAAAACAGAAATAATCTGCTCTCATTTATTATCATTACATATGCGCAGCCCTTCCGACAGCAGATTTACTGTCCTTGCCTGTGCAGGGACCAGCACCCTCCCACGTAAAATATGTGCACACAGCTTGAACCAAGGGAGTGGTCCCAGCCAATGCTCACCTCAGTGCCACACAGGTGTGGGCCCCAGCACTCCTGCTCAGTGCTCAACGTACCCTGGGCTTGGGATGCTGCTGTAAACCAGTTTATGGGGGAGAGAAATCTGAACTAGCCTGCAGGCACTCAAAGATCAATGGAGACCACACAGCCTTCTCTGCTCCTAGTTCCCATTAAGCAAAGCAAGATCCACTGTCCCACAGGGAGCTGCCAGTCCACACCATCCCCGAGCACAACAGCCACGTGCCTTGCTCTGTGTCACTGCTCAGCTCGGACGCAGCTCTACGATAACTGCTCAGGTTTCCTTGACACTCTCACAGCCTGAGTGGACTAAGGATAAAGAGCTGCCTGTGGAGACACATCACAAGATGCTGGAAGTGATTCAGGAAGCACTACAAAGTATCAGATGCAATTTCCTCACAAGAGCCTCGGCTACACAAACACTCCAGCAACAGCAGCGTGTTCCCAGCGTCACTCTTGTTCTGCCAACGCTGCTACACGTGGGTCCCTCACTGTTCAAACCTCTGGGGCTGCTGCCCCGGGAATGCTGTGCCCTTCTTCTGCCCCACTGCAGCTGCAATGCAATGCCAGACACAGAGGACACAGCTGGAACAGTCTGAGGGACACAGTTAAATCCTAGAGAGATAAAGGTGCCGACTCAAATCAACAATTTAACAACTGGAGACACATACCAGAAACTCCCAAAGCACAGCCCCTCTCACCTGAGGGGTCAGCACCAAACACTGTCCCACATGCCCCCCTGTGCCCAGCCAGCCCCCTCACAAGGCTGAGGGCACGAGAGCACTGAGGGTCCCCAAGGCCCTGGGCAATAGACAGGGGCTGCACAGCAGCTGGGGGTCCACAGGGCCCTGTGCCATGGGTGGGAAATGGCAGCCTCTTGCCAGCCAGACTGGCCATTCCTGAACAACTCTGGGAACATCTGATGGATAAAGTAGACAAACGAGCAAGTACCTCATCACTGAGCATTGCCCACCCAGCACCTCTCCATATTTACTTTCCAAGACTGCCCTTCCAGCTTGGCAGCAGGTCCTGCCCTTGCCATAACCCCAAACTTGCCCTCCTCTTTTGCTTATCATGAAAGAGAAGACAACACCTCGTTTTGCTGGTCCTGAAGTAATGCAACAGCATCTGCAACTGGCTGAAGATACAGGGTTAAGAAGCAAAAACACATGAAAAACACCATATATACCAACTCCCAACAGCTTTTAGCCTCTGCCCCTAATCTGGCTCTGCTGCAAGTATAAGTGGCACACCTGACCCACCTCCATCCAGCACTGTAGGGTACTAAGAATGACTCTGGAATGATTCTGGTGCAGCTATTTCAGCTGTGAGGCACCAGGAGTGGGCACAGGCTCTGACACTCCCCCCAACACCTTCCACAACTGTACAGCTCTTCCAGCCCTTCCTCAGCTCAGCCCTTACAAGCTTGGCAGGAGGAGGATGGACCCTCCATTCCCCTAGATGTGCAAGCGCCAGCACACAGGCACCCTGAATGAAGTGGCACCATCCCAAGAGCTAAAAGGGGGGAAAAAAAATTTAGAATTTCCTATCGATCCCACTCACTGACCTCCCCCTAATGCAGGCACCCTGCAATCAAACCCATCCATAAAGCAGATTTACAAGAAAGACACATTATCATTTTTATCAGCCCACTGCAAATTTAATAATCATTCATCTACTGCTCTAAATAGATGCAATAAATAAATCCAAACAGAGCTGAACTACTGGCCTCTCCTTTGCTGCTACTATTGTTCCAGATCACAAAGACAATTAGAGGAAAAATGCCAGTCCACTATTTTTCAGCGTGGCCCTGGTAGGAAGCAGCTGTGGAAGGATTTTACACATGAACGGATGAAGCCAACTCATTAGAGACCTGACCCAATGACACGTGTGAGCAGGAGAGAAAGGCTGTTCTTTATCTCCCATTGAACAGCCAGTTATGCTCAACCACATTATTTTTCTTTTTTAAGCCCACAGCCACACTTGTGTGTTTGGGTAAGTTCTACAGCAGACATCTCATGAAGAGTGTACCTAAATTACTGCCTCTGCTCACACACACAGACAGCACTTTCCCCTCTCTGGAGATGCTCTTTTCTGGGGGGAGCAATACCCAGACAGCAGCAGAGTTTAGGCCTTGGGGCTCACCTGCCCACTCCCCCTCCCCAGCACTGAGGATGGGCAGAAGAGATCCCCATGGGCTGAGCCCTACCACAGCCACCAGACAGGGAAAAGGAAGCTTTGAAGACAGCAGGTCTGTCACAGCAGCCAGGGTGGGACAAAACACTTCTCCCTTGCTCCGTGGGCATCCAGAGGTGCCAGGGGAGCTCTGGAGGCAGCACCCCGTGGGCAGCCAGTGCCCCTGCCCAGCCAGGCTCTGCCCATCACAGAGGGGAGGAAGCACAGCCACTCACGGGAACACTTCAGAAAGCAAAGCCAAGAGGAGCAGGGCAAGGAGCAGCACACCAGCACCAGAGGGATTCCCCACCACGTTTCACAAGCCTGGACAGCAAGCATCAGCCCACCGGTCCCTGCCTGACATCAATCTCCTGCCAGCAGCTACTCTCACCCTTCCAGGCTGAAGACTCACTTAATCCTCATTATCCACCTTCCTTCAACACATAAAGAGAGAGTGAAGCTTGTCCAGATGATGCTGTCAGGGGCTGCCGTGTGTGCACATGGGCACAGAGGGGGGTTGTGGGTGCTGCATTCCCAAACAGGCATGCTCCTTCCCAGGCCCTTTGCAGGAGTGCAGCTCTTGCCTGCCAGAAGGCACCACCACCAATCGGTGCTGGCTGCTGGGAGAACTCATCCTCATAAGGAGCAGAAATCCCATTTTGTTCAACAACAAGACCCTGTTTTCCTGCTACACTAGCAGAGCAATCGGTGGGACTCAAAGGAATGAGGCACTGAGGAGCGGGGGAATGACACAAGTACGAAGCAGTTCAGTAGAGTCAGTATATAGTGGTGTAGAGGATGGACACGAGGGCTGGGTTCAGTAGCCTGAGGAGCTCATGCTCCAGTTGCACACCTGCACCTCTCCTGCTCTCTCCAGCCTCAGCTTCAGGCCCCGAGTTGGACACAGACCCTGAGATTGGGGACATCTGATCACTCCTGCTCTGAGGAGCCTCCCTGTCCACTTTACAACAAACATTCACTTCACTGACACAATGGTATCCAAACAAGTTCATTAAGCAGTGCCTTGTTCAAATGGCAGCAGGAATGGCTTCACCCCAATCAAGTGTGGCCATGCACAGAGGCCAGAGTGGAGCAACACAGACCCAATTAAGCTGCCTGGGAACTCACTTCCCCTCACCACTTTCACTGGCTGCCAGGCACAACATGGTTCTCATACTTTCACCATGTGTCATTCTGCACAGGCAGCTGGAAATAAGGACCTGGGAGCTCAGAGGACAGAAAACACATTTTGGCAATGACACACAGTTGCCCTCACAGCCCCTCAGAGGGTTCCCAGCTCCCAGGGCCACCTCGCAGCGGGGCCACAGAGCTGCTCCACACTGGGGTGTCTTCCCCTGCCTCCCCCTTCGCTCCAGAGGGAGCACCCACACCACCCTTCTGCTGCCCCCTCAGCAAACCACATCCAACCTCCAGACTCCACTGCTCAGCCTTGGCTCCCCAGCCTCATGCTGCACTCGCTCAGATCAAAGTTTGAGGCATAACCCTGGAATCTCCAGAAAAGCCTCTGGATTTCACAGATAAGTCAGATTGCTGCCTTAAGGCAGCAAGGATCTGCTGCAGTAAACCCTTCCCAGGGGGTTTATGTGTGTGTGGAGGGGGAGTAGAAGTATTGTAAGGAAATATGCGCCAAGAAATAAGCAAAACAAAACAAATCCCCCCACAGTAATGTACTTGCATCTTATTGATCATTAACATTTAAAAAAGTCTAACACGGCAAGTCTGCCAAAGACCTTTGTGATCCCAGTGAAACACATTCCCAGGATGTCAAGAACTCTCACAATAATGATGTAGAAAATCTGTAACTTGCTTTTTGTTTCAAGGAAAGTGTGTCAACTCCAGATCCCAGGGCGGCTCTAGGACAAGTCTCCCCAGTGTGATACCACCACTGGGAGCACCTGGACTGAACTGGAACAAGCACTTCAAGAGTCCATGTTATGTGGCCACACTCAAAGCCCTTTTAGAGGAACACAGGATATGAAACACCAGGAGTCAAGAGCCGAGGGACCAAGAGGGAAGGGTGAAGAGTCTCACGTTTCTTCTTTCATGTCCCTTTCTTCCATCTCTCTGTGCAGAGGGAGGACAGTCAGCTCTCCACAGAAACATTTTAGGAATAAGCAGTTGACCCTGTCCAGAACAAAATAACTGATCCTGTGCTAGAGAGGGAGCAAGACAATTAAATGTGATCTGGGATATCCCACTTCACACATCACTGGCCCCGTTAGCAAAGCACAAGAGCTCTGGTGAGCAGAAGGGCTTGAGGCTGACACAGCTCTCTGTGCAGGACCAAAGGCTCCCCGTGCCCACACCCCCCCAGCAGCCCCCACTGAGAATGGCTCTCACTGCATGTGCAAGGGGAGCAAAGACCTGAGCACATCAACACTTTGCAGGAGTTCCTTCGTAACTCAGAACTTAGTGATTAACTCCCAAAGAAGTGCCCAATGCAGCTGGCACCCTGCTTGTTCCAAGTGAGATATTTGCACCAAGTGCATTCCCAAAACACCTGGAAATGGAAGAGTTACACACAGCTCCTGTGAAATCTCACCTCAAACACACGTTTAAAAATAAATAAGGAAGCAGCACTTTTAACCTGGCACAATAATCCCTGCTCTACCAACAAGGATTCAGATCAAATTCTGATAATTCAACCCAATTGAGTTATGGTGACTGTGCTGTATTTGCTGTACATGCTGCAGGTCACAGTCAAGGCCATCTTTGTCTTGTAGGACAGAAAACGCAACCCCAGCTCTGGCATGCAAATGTTAAACATTGACATCCTTCAGTGTGCAACTGCCTTATGGCCTCAAAGTCTCAAAACAGAAAAAGCCTCATCATCCACAGGAGACCTGAACTCCATGGAAGGCAAAAGCAAAGGATTTGCATAAGATATAGTTTTTCAAGCCAAATTAGTTCAAATCAAACTCCTTCTCTCTGAAGACCCCCACCATCACCTCCGAGTGTTGCAGATCAATTCCCAGTACAAAGGGTGCTCTGTCCTCCCTGACACTCCCAGGAACTTTGCAGGGAGGACAGGACAGCTCCCTGGAAAAAAACAAGCCCAAAGCCCTGCTTATACAATAGATGTTTGTCACCATTGTCACATCATCACAAAGGGGAAAGAGGAAGCACAGGCTGCAATATTGGCCCCTGTTATGAAAGCAGCAGCTTTGTTTGGGCAGGAAAACAAAACCCACTGAGCAATCAGAAGAGAAGAATTGTTAAACCAGCAAAGGAACACAGGACCAATAGGAAGGTAATCCACAGCAGAGATAAACCCAGGAACCCCCAGCTCTGTCACAGTGCTTCCATTCTGTTTCCCAGGAAGGACTCCCAGGCTCCCTTCTGCTCCCAGCCCAGGAACCAAACCTTCTGCTTCCACCTCCCAGCGCACTCCTTCCCGAGCCTTCTCCTACTGCCTCAGCCTTCTACCCCTGCTGCTTCCCCAAGCTTCACCCCAGCTCTGCCAGCACCCCAGACCTCCCCTCAGAGGGCACAAGCTCTCCCTCATCCTGCGAATACAAGACAAACCATTTTACACAAACTCCTTGTTTCAACTGCATTTTCCTTTTTTTCAGCGTGATTCGGGAACCCTTGGCATGGGTTATTTCTTGAAGACCAACTTCATAAGTGAGGAAATACTACCAAGAAAAACCAGCTGAGAGTAAAGAGCATCCCAAAACTCACCCCCTAAAAGGCCCCTGTTCACAAGGACTCCAAGATACACTCCCTTGAAAATAATTTCCTCTTTTCCAAGAGAGAAGCTTACAGATACAAGAATGAACAAAACTATAAGTATTATCCTTTATCCTAAAACGCATTTAGCCCCTGCAGAGAAGTATTTAGGAATTAGGAAGTGCCTTCACCCAGTTATGTTTGATGCCAAAAGAGATTAAAAAAGCAAAAAAATCCAGGACATGGATTTCCAAGTATGCTGGCTAAAGAGCTTTTTGGCTATTGAATAAATATTACTGTCAATGGCTACTATTGTTGGAGGGAAAGCCCAGAATGACTCTCCTGAAAACACTTTTCACCCTTAAAAACAATTACAGCAAGGTAGATCAGGAATGTTCCACCCTCTATCCAGAGCAAGCTTGGGGGGATGTTTTCTCTGTTTTACAGAGAAGCAGCAGTTTCCAGAGTGAAAACACTGATCTTTGCCTTTCTCCAACCTAAGCCCATTGTCTACATCTGTGAATGAACTGTGCAAATCTGCTGCTGAGAAAAAGTTTAAGTAAGAACACCGAATTTAATAGCAGGTTCAGGTGACTTAACTGCCTTTAGAGGTGTTCATTTCCTATTAGAATTAATTGACCCCTGTAAGGGAACAGCACTTGACATAATGACACAGCTGGCACTGTGCAGCACTGAACTGGACCGACTGGGACAAGATCCCCCCAGCAAGAGGCTTTTTAAAAGCCCCAGGGTTCTCCTGGCAGAGAGAAAATGGATGAGCTCCAGCTCTACCCATGAGCATAACAGCACTCGCTTACCGTCAGTGACGCCTGGAAACAGCAAAGTTCCACCATAAATGCCCGTGGAAAATGGCCTTAATTTAATCCCTGGCCCTGCTGCTCTTCCTCCTGCTGTCACTCACATCTGAGCCCTGCTCCCACAGCCTGCCCAAGCAGCCAAGCCCGGCCTAGAAAGAGGGCTGCTCTCCCTTCTGACTCTGTTCCACTGGCAGAAGAAAATTCTGCTTTCACCGCCTTTTACTCCTACTGTTACTCAGGAGAAATCCACAATTTCTCCTCCTGCCAGAGTGCTTCCGGAGCGGTCGAGGCAAGTGCCCTGTGGTGCTGTCACGGCCGGACACACCAAGAGGACAGGCTTCCCAAGTGCTCCTCCACCACCTCTGCTGAAAACACCAGAGCCAGGCACCGTGAGAGAGGCAGATGCCCTCACTCCGAGGCAAAGAGCCGGGCTCCCCAGAGAACACCCTGGCACTGCTACGGGACTGGGTGGGTGCAGCTGCCTGGAAAGGCACAGGAAAGGCAAAAGGAAGAGGTGCAGCCCATGCATCCATCCAAACAGTCAACAGTGCCAAAGGCCATCGACACCTCAGAGAAGCCTCTGGGACATCCCACCATCCAGGAGCACCGAGGAAGAGCCAACTCCGGGACTCACCATCTCTACCTGCTGCGCACCCACCTGAACACACGGAGCCCCACACCGCGTCAGTGACACTCTTGCTGTGTTTTCGTGCATCTTGAGCATCTCCTCTCCAACTCACTCTGCGAGAAAAACCTGGTGCCACCTGTCCTGGGTGCCCACAGCAGCGCCCCGGGGGCAGGATGAGAGCAGCTCTCCAGAGCTACTGCACACAGCCGGGGAGGCCACAGGGTTCTTCCCACCGTGTGGGTGCTCGGCACCGAGGCACCCGCGCGACAGGGGACACGCCGTGTCGCGTTCTGAACTGCTGCGACCCACGCGTGCGACCCGTTTTCCGGTGTCACCCCGGCCGTGCCCCCCCCGCCCCGCGGGCCCCGGCGCTCCGGGGCTGTCCCCGCGCCCGCTCCTCCCGCCCCGGCGGGACGAGGGCCCCGCTCACCTTGAAGTCGCGGCTGTGCTGCGGGGTGTACTCGAGAGTCCAGAGCGCCCGCACCAGCTGCGCCAGCTGCTCCGTGACCTCTCCGGGCGCGGGCGGCGGCCCGTCGGCGGGGGGCGGCCCGCCGCGGAACTGCTCCAGCGCCAGGAACTCGGCGAAGAGCTCGGTGTTGCTGAGGCACTGCAGGATGGCGTTCATGAAGCAGGTGTTGCCGTGGTTGCGCAGCCCCGCCACGCCGGGCACGGCCTCGGAGCCGGCGGCGGGGCGCGGCGGGGGCTCGGGGCTGCGCGGCGGGCCCGGCGGGAAGC